GCATACACGAAGATGTCTTTCCAGAGCATATGGCGCAGTGAGTTAGAATTACTCTTGTCTCCAGTCACTATAAATGTTTAACTTGAATCTCATATATTGCCTGATAACTATTTCTGTCTTTTAGGTTTTATACAGCCTGTGTAGTCTTGGGGCTCCAGTTCTTGCATGAGAAGAAAATTGTTTATAGGTAATGCAGCAGAGACTCAAGACAGTTCAGCAACTTGAAGGTTGATTTTTCCTGTAGCTGTGTCTGGAGCTCACTTTCTTGCTGGGGTTTCTAATCTTTCTGCCTGTCTTTATTTTCCCTGTCACTATCAGCATGTTCATCGTGCTCACAGTAGAGAAAGTCACCTAGAAGCTATTCATCTGGTATGTTGCAGGTGATTAATCCTCTGTGACATGTCAATACATTCTGGGGGGCACCTGTAAGTCACTGCTTTCTTTTCACTGGGATATTCAGGTAATTTGTCATGCTGTTGTGGGAGCTCTTTTCCAGATGAATAATCCCCACCCAGCTCCATGCTGCTTTTTGAGCCTTTTGTTTAGGGAAAAATATCAGTCAGTTAAGGGGAATCTTCCGAATAATGCACGATTAAACCAAATGTAGACTTTACTTAATCTAGATTTTATTCTCTTGATAAATATCTACCTTCTGCCTCTTGCAAAAAAGCTGTATTGGATGGCAATCTTCAGTCTTCATCCACTGTTTTCTTTCATCTCCTGTGCTTGCAGGGACCTGAAATTGGATAATCTCCTTTTAGATGCTGAAGGATTTGTGAAGATTGCAGATTTTGGATTGTGTAAGGAAGGTGAGTAACTGGAGAAGCTTAAATTGAGCCATCAGGATCAGTTTAGGATCTAAGGGCTTTAGTAGGTGTTTGTGTGTAACTTGTATTAATCCCCATTTTAAAAATTACTATCAAAAAAGCCAAACAAAAAACCCCTCACCTGTCTGGCCATGATGAATTTGGGAAGAATACCTTGTTGTGTAATCTTCAAGAGACTTATGAAAGCATTTAAAATGTGCTTGTTTGCTCAAAGGAGCCAGAGTATAGGATCATATAAAACATGTAGATTAATAAATGAGCAAAGGAACATGCAGGAAGTTCCCTTGGGTTTGCTGTTTATTTAATCATGGTATATTTGTTATTTGGAGTCATTGGGGGCCTCAGGTTTCACACTTCTCACTTGCAATTCCCCATGCCCGGGTAACAACATCAGGTGACAAACTACAGCTTTCAGGAGGTGAGGCTGCATCAGATCCATTCAGTAACTTGTGCTGGGTTTTACCAAAGTGTCCTTTTCCTACAGGAATAGGTTTTGGAGACCGGACAAACACCTTCTGTGGCACCCCTGAGTTTCTGGCCCCGGAAGTGCTGACAGACATCTCGTACACGCGGGCAGTGGACTGGTGGGGCCTGGGTGTGCTCATTTATGAGATGCTTGTTGGTGAGGTAAGGCCAGCTTCCCTAAGGGAATCTCACTGACCAGGTTTGGGGACTTGACCACCGAGGTAAAATATTGCTAAACACAGCCAATTAAGTGGTACTTCAGTTACATTTTTCTTATTCATAGTGCTTGCCAAACAGTAATTAATTAATCCATACAACTCCCTGCTATTCTCATGCCTATTTAATAGTGAGGAATGGGTGCTATGTGGATTGAATAAAAGAATGTTCCCAATTGCAGTCACCATTCCCTGGAGATGATGAGGAGGAAGTCTTTGACAGCATTGTCAATGATGAAGTCCGGTATCCACGATTCCTTTCGACTGAAGCACTTTCCATAATCCGTAAGGTAAAGGGCTGATGGGTCTCTGGGAGCCTGAGGAATTTGCATTTACTGTGTAAGTGGATCCAGAGGGACTTGAATAGGATTGTACAGCACTTGTGTGTATAATCTGGAGCTGCCTACATAGGCTAAGGAAATATTTAAAATTTGCACATATTTTCCCTTCCTCCTCTTTACGTAATGCAGTTCTTCTATGTAAGGATGACTAAGCAGGCTGCTTACTGTTCCTGCTAAGTCTGGCACATGGAAGTGTTGATTCAAGGGCAAGAGTGTCACAGTAATTCAGTGGAGATGACTGGATTCAGTTTTCGAATGTGACCCCATAGTCACAGGTGCACAATTAAGCCGAGATGCTCCATGCAGTTTATGGCAGGTATCTTATCGCTGTTGGCAAATTGTTTACAAGGAACTAGGTCTGAGTTATTCCTGGCAGATGATGACCTTGGTGCAAAGTGAGAATGAGGAAACACCTCCTTTCTTTTGTTTTTCTCTCTGAAGCATTATTTCTGTCCATTCTTGTTCCCATTGTTTAATTTTGAACTGATATCTCTGCAGCTGCTTCGGAAATGTCCAGAGCGTAGACTGGGAGCAGGGGAAAAAGATGCAGAAGAAATTAAAATTCAGCCCTTTTTTAAGGTAAGAACTTGGTTTATACCTCTCCCTTGTTTATTGTGTTTGAGCAGAGAGTGATTTGCTCTCTGTTGGTATTGAGGCTTATTTCCCTTTGTTATCAGGGAGATCTTAGTGATAGTTTCTGTTGCACCTCATTGCTCCATTCAGGAATATGTATTTCAAGTCTTGCTTGAAATGACATCCCCCAAGTCTGTTTTCTGGGATCTTTATGCTTCCAGAGTCAGTTTATTTCTGATTGTGCTGCTTCTATGTACAAATATACTTAACTTTAGAGACATGAACAAATATTCCTTTTAAAATAAAACTGAAGCATCAAAAATGTGATTTAGTGATGACAGTGATTGTCAGTCAATCTATTTGATTACCTGCATTTGCAGGATACATATGACTCTTAAGAGAAATTGAGGTTAAATTGCTTTTGTCAGGGGTATGTGTTTGTTCCAGGCAAAGGTGTTGCCATCCCTCATCAGTCCAAAAGTTTTTAGCCTTATAACCCTTGTCTGGCTTTGCACTGGAGTAAGAAAAGAACTTGGATGTCAGCAGAAATTGCTGGGATCCACAGATCCACCTGGCCGTGTCTGGGCTGTAGTTTTGTCCTTCCTAAATACAGTTGTAGCTGTAAAATCCACTGCATGGAATCTCTTCACTACATCCTGTGCTGTTTGTTGTGGGCCTTTTTTCAGTTCTCTCTCTTTTTTTAATTAGTAGAAATAAGACAGGTTGCAAATGATCCGTAAGGGGGGCTGCAGTTCTGCCTCTGACTTTCACATTTCATAAATAATCTTTGTGTCAATCTGGCCTGTTGCCTTCCTTTTCTTACAGGGAATTGATTGGAATGTCTTGTTTGCCAGGAGGCTGAAGCCCCCCTTTGTGCCCTCACTAAGAGATCCAACTGACATCAGCAACTTCGATGAAGAGTTCACTTCTCAAAAGCCAATCCTTACTCCTCCTGAGGAGGTTTCTGTCCTCACCCATAAGGAGCAGACCGCCTTCAAGGACTTTGACTTTGTTTCCAGACATCTTTTAGATGTGTGATTCCTGGGCCACAAAAACATGAAGAGATTGTTACCACCTTGAGAGAGCATAGAGAAGACTTTGCAGGGCCAGTGGAAAAGCCAACAGGATTTGTAGTACAGGTAGTGATGATGGCCCCAGGATGAGGTGCCCTGCAAGCTGAATTAACCTGCTGTGGGTTTTCCAGCCTCATGTGTTGGAAGGATCCTGGATGTCAATTACCTTTAAGGAATAATTAATGTTTGATGGAGTATATCTTCTTCTGTCATTGAACGTAGATGAAATTTGGAATTTAAGCTGGACTTGAAATCAAATCATCTCTGCAACCCAGGTTACTCTTTGCAAAAAGCCTAAGCAGTGTGATTTTTTAAAGTTGTAGCATAGCAGGGGAGTGGCCACTTCTCACTGATTTTCTAGAGATGCAGCATTCCCTCCTGGTAATGATTGTATGCCAATTCCCATGAAAATCTTTATGCTAGATAAGGAATGGATTTTAACACTACCAAGACAATGATGTTTGATAATGATCCAAGTGATTTATCAGAAGGAAGATGAATCTTTCTACTTAAGGATGCCAACTTTTAGCTATTGTTTATAATGATATCAAACTCCATAGCTTTGCACATGTTTTTTTTTTTCTTTTTTGAAAATAAAGATACCTTTCTATATGATAAATATTCAGCTTTCATCTCCTTTGTGTCAGCTGAATGTTTCAGACCAGAGCTAACCAAAATGCTCAACAGGCAGGACTTTAGTTTTCTCCATAAATGCCAGAAGTAATATTTTCTTTCTTTTTTCCTTCTCACTCAGGTTGTCTGTGTACATATTGCATGGTGTCATCAGCTGTCAGATACCAATGGCTGCAGTCAGGTTATCTCTCCACAGATTTTATCAGTGTGTGCATCCTGTATAATTTTTGGGGACAGCTAAGTAATGACAGTCAGTACTGGAAAATCAGTGAGTAAAAGGTGATTTCATTGCCTTGTAATATATCTTTGTAATTATACTTGATAAAAATACATTTTCATGTCTTAAATTCATAATGTTAGCTCATTAGACAAAAAGGGAAGGGTTTTTAGAGATAAGGCATCTGATGCAAACAAGGACACAGTCATTGTTCTTTCAGTTTGTCTTCACCAGATGGAGACAGGAGTGGACCTAAGGCAACTGTGCTGTAGCTGGAGACAGGGATCTAGGGACTTGTTGAGCTAAGGCAGGTCCCAGTGGTTCAGGATTCAGTGAGGTAAAAGCTCTGTTCATGCAAACCAGGGATATTTCACACTCAACCTAGATTTCCTATTCTCAGAGCCAAGTATAGCTGCTTCTGAAAATTCCCATGTACAAAGATCCTTTCAACCTCCCACTCACCCTGGCAGTGCACTGGCCTGTTTAGAGCAGGATATACATTTTCCTCACTATTGTTGGAGTGGCAGTTGCTGTTGGCCTCTGTGGTGTGTTTTGTGGCTTTAGTTCAAGGCCACTGTGCAGTGGGAGGTAGCACAGTGGATTGTTAGCATAGGTGAAACCTGGAACTTGGGTTCAAAGAGAGTCACAGACAATTTAAAAATGCATATTTAATCTTTATGGTTGAGTAAAAAAAATGGTAAATTAACACCCAGGTGTATTTTAAAGAAATACCAGACAGAGCAAAACTCTTTTGAGCTGTTGTACCTGCTGATAAACTTTCACCTGACCTGAAGAACCAGGAATTGCAGTGTGACAGATGATCCACACTTTAGCAGGTACCACAGCAACACAAGGAAACTGCAGAATACTTCTGAATGGTGTAGCAGCTTTACAAAAACAATCCTTAGCATTCTGATATCCTTCTGATAAAGCTTCTACTCTGAACAAAACAGACTGTGCACAGATTACAAACTCTAGAGCTAGTTAAAAAAGGGATCTTTTGCTGCATTTAAATTGTGTTTGGTATGTCATGCTGTGTTAGTAACTACACTATCTTTTCATGAGTGTTCATCAGCTTTAAACCCTGAGTGCTTCTGAGTTAGTGTTAATTCCTGAGCCAAGACAATTAAGGCACAAGATAATTTTAACTAACATTTTGTTGTGGTGGTTTTTCTTGTTTTGTTTGTTTTTGTTTAAACAGAAAAGGGTCAGGACTAGAATTCACACCACAGCCTTTTTTGTTTTAAAGTTAAGATCGGTCATCCCAAACTTCCTTTTAGTTCCCCATGGAAATCTGAAGTGTGACCTTTTATTTCAATGGAAAACAGATCCTCTTGCTGCTGTCCTAAAAGCTGTCAGCATCTTTCATCTCAGGACCTGGCAGCTTTTCTCTTGCACTGAAATTGTATTATTTTATGAAAATGTCACTAGTGAGTTGAGGTAGTAGTAGTGTTACCAACAGTGTTACTTTAGTTAGGCACGAGATACCCACATCTGCTCCTGCTTCTCTCCCAAGCTACAGCAAAAAGGCCTGAGCACAACATTATCTGCAGAAATAACTCAATAGCCAATTAGTACTTTTCTGTCCAAAGAAAAGTGATGGTATCATTCTTCACTGACTTGATTCGAAACAGTGAATTGTTAGCAGCATCATCAGCTTAAAAAGCTGTGAGGAAGCTGCTCAGGGCATCACAAAATACAGGTTAAATATCTCATAAGATTAATTTGATGTCTTACAGCTCTTTCTTATGCACATTATCAATATTAAGCCTTAAGTCTTCATGGAAAGCATTAACTTGAGGCATGTGGACAAAATAAAATTTGCTTTTGATTCTCTAAATATTTACTCAAATATTTCTCTTACATGCCTGATGCTACTGCCAAAAGGCACTGCAATTCTCAGTCAGAACCTGGCTGAAAAAAAGGCCACAGAAATTACACTGATCCTGGCTGGTTTTATCTGTAATTGCTGCTGTTTCCTAGCAGCAAAAGGCGAGGGAGACCTTTGAGAAGAGAACACGAATAGTCACACTAATCTTGCATTTCTTCTGGAGAGGTGTGGATGCACTTAACAAAAGGAAATAAATTTAGAGAGATACTTTCTTCAGTCTGGAAGTCAGCTCTGCTGGCTTTGCCCTTCCCAGAACTGTATTCTTGCCTTTAACAGTGTTATTTATATATAAAAAATAACCCTGACTATCCCTGAAATGTAATTTGCAGATGAATAGGTTGTGGAGCAGATTGCATAGTCCATGATGCACTGAAGTTCAGTGCAAGGAAACAGCAGCCATTGCATTAGCAAGGTTTTACCCAGCAGCCTGCCAGGTGTGTTGGCACACTGGGACTAGACAGGCTCACTGTTCTTGTGAAAATAGATGTTCTCCCATGCAGTGATGTGGTGTGAACAGAAGAATCCCCAGAGATTGAGGATTATCCCTTGGTCAAAGGGGTTCTCCAGCTCGGAGTGCCGCAGGTAGGAGATGCGGTGGTGTGACATGAACTCCCAGGTTGTGGTGTTGCATGAGATCAGGTACAGGTGGGAAACAAGCAGCAGCAGGACCACAATGGTGAATATGAATATCAGGAGGAAGGACACAAGGAGGAAAATGTTGTCCTGCAGCCACTCCTGGGATTGTTCAAAGTAGAGGCCTGACCTTTCAATTCAAACAGAAATAAATCTGCAGTTAAAGAAGCAGAACTAGTTTCATAAACTAAGCAAACCTGATGACACATTTGATTTCTAACTAATGAGCTGCTAATAATCCTTGATTACAGAGAGTTAATATACTATGAAGTCCTGAGAGACTGCACCATAGGGATTGGAATCTAAGTTTAGAAGATGCTGTTTTCCTGACAGCTGTGAGACACAATCACCCTGTGTTAACTCCTTTCCTGAACAGCTGGAACCCTGTTGGAGTTTCCAGCACTTGAATGTGTAAACAAAGATTCTGTTACAGGGACTGAAGCAAAATGAACAATGAAACCTAAATTATCAGAGACTCTCAATATTAGGGGGTTCTAGGATGCAAAAGAGGGTGAAGATCCAAAGCCAGTCCAGCCACTGCTATGTTCTATGCCAGCCCAAGGAGCATTTCAACTTTCAGCAATCTCAGAGGTCCAAAAGCCATCTCCCAGCCTTACCAAGCAACATGGCCTCCCCACAGCAGAACCACAAGCTGCACGCTCAGGTAGACTATGAAGAGGGGGTGATTCCTTTCTCCTACACAGTTCTCAAGCCAGGGGCAGTGATGGTCGTAGCGCCGCACGCAGTGCTGACACAACCGGCAGTGCTTGGCTCGCATGGGTTGCTGCAAAACAATCAGGAAAAGAAAAAACTCACTGGCTACAGTTCATGGCTGTCCCACTCCTGTTTGGTAGAAGAGAACATCATGCAAATCAGTCTTTCTCCACAGTATTGGTTCTAAAACACTCACTTGAGAGACAACAGCACAACAACATCACTAAGAAAAATCAAAGGGAGTGTGATTCTCCTGATGGAGACCCAAATGAGTGGCATTCAAAATAAGTGATTCTCCCACCCTCCTATCTATACATTTTCTTTATTATCCACCTATTATAGGAAGTCCAGCATCCCAAGGAGGAAGACAAAGCCAATCAGTGTAGTCAGGAAAGCATGAGCCAGAGTATTGAGGTGAAAAACTAGAACCACTACTATAAAATAGAGTGGGCAGGGATGTGATGCTTTTTGGCGACGCACAGAGAAGTGCCTCCATGTGAATACATGAAAACACAGAAAACAGCTCAATTACCAGGCACAGAGAAGGTGAAAGACTTGGCTGAGAAAAGTAGTGCTTCCTAGGATTTGTCCCCTGCAGTGTATAAGTGCTTTGCCAGCTTTCCCTCTTGCAATAAGCTCATTCCTCCTGGTTGATACTCTTCAGGAATTTATGGGAGCTGGGGTAATGCTTAATTTCATTAAACTGATAAGGATCACTGAAAACAAGCCTTTCTAGGCTTAGGCAAACTGTTTTAAGAGCTAATTGCATTGCTGTAATTTCTCCTCCATGCTGTCTTTTACCATCCAGGCCAATATTTTGTTGTTTTAAGGCCCTGAACAAGTTCACAACAATGAGCAGTTCCCACATGTTACGCTCAGCTGCCTTTCTGACTATCAAGGTTATTTTCAAAATAACTTCTTTGACAGTACTGCAAGGTCTGACTGACATGGCAGTAAGAATGTGGAATACAATTTTCTCATGGCAAAATAATATTCTTGTTTCTGTAAGCCAGCAGGGACTTGTTTCAGCCTTGGAAAACTGGTCTGTGTGCCAGTGTCCATCACTATTACTTGTGCAGCTACACAGTCTGCCCTTCTCTAAGCAGCAATTACAGTCCACCAGCAGCTGAAGAGCAATATAAGCTTTCAAATCACTCATCCCTTTCTCTTCCAGCATGTTCTGGATGCCCACCTTCACCAGGCAGTAACCACAGCGCCGCAGCTTAATGTCACCTGGAATCAGAGGGATCACCACACCTTGTCCTTTATCTTCACCTTCCTACAAAAAAGAGAAAGGGAGGGACTGAGGAGGGTTCTTGGGCTGCTGTCTAGGCATAACTGAGCTGTCTTGCTGCATATTTTTACTTAACAATTACACAGTGCTTGTTATCTCTATCATTAGGAATAAAATAATTCATTAGAATACCTACAGAAGCTGCAGACAGTTATGGTACAGTGAGAGAGAACAGGTTACTGTAACCCTCCAAAGAATGTGAGGCAGAGGCAGAAATAACTGTGGACAAGACACAGTCTGGGACAAAAACAAGGTTAGACTTCACTTCTAAACACAGTAACAATGTATTTTCAGTATGAGCACTGCTAATTAGTCATACACAGCCAACACTGACATTAATGATGGATGCCTAAGATTGACAGTGCTTTTGTCCTACACATTCTATAAGGCAGTGAACCTTGAGCAGACTAGCAGTTACTGAAACTTTGAATCTCCATTTATTTCACTGTAACTTGTTTGTGGACATGTCCTCTGAGAGGGCAACAAATCCATAAAGAGTTCAATAAATAGAGCTGCAGAGAGCACTGTCTGCCAAGCCTGCCCCTCAGTTCGGGGCTTTTTTTTGCACTTGTACCACTTAGCAGCGGTTATTGTAAAATAGGTCATATACACATTCTGCAGGGCACTGCAGCCTCTGCTCTAGGAGAGGACTTTAGCTCAAATGGCACAATTATGTACAAGGGCAGTGTGGTGTGAAAGGCACATTTAACAGCCCTATTGCTGTTACAAAATACCAGTGTGAGACAGTCTGTCCTCATCTCCAGCGGTTTGTGCATGTGTCCTTCATGCCAGCACAAAAAAAAACTGTTTCAGACTGTTCTTATCTACCAGAGTGGAAAAAAAGCAGAAAAGGCTATAGACTTTGCAGGTACTCCACTTCGTTCTATTCATGAAGGGATTTACCTTCACTTCCTCTTCAGGCTTAACAAAACCCGGATCCATGAGAGACACCTTGAAGTACAGCAGGATCGAGCATAAAACCAGCAAAACGAAGATCAGCGGCTGAAGCAGCTCCCCGCGCTCCTCTTGCTTTTGCAGATCTGAAAGGTACCCATAAAAGACAGAGAGCAGCAGCTCCTTGCGAAGCGTCCTGGATTTTTCTCTCTGGCCTCAACAAAGGGGTCCCGAATCTATGAAGGGGAAATGGGGAGAGACCAAGCGGAGAGAGGAGAGGCTGAGAAGGGGCTCCCCAGACCTCCCCGCCCTCGGGGCACTCCCGGGCGCAGCTCCTGTTCCGCAGGGGCCGCACGATCCCCGTCCTCCGCCTGCCCGCGGGGCGGAGCGGCCCCGGCCCGGCCGCCCCTGCCCGCAGCCCGGCCGGGCCCCGCCTCACCCGTGCGGTGCAGGAGGAGCCCGAGCAGCAGTGCCGCGCTGAGGGCCGTGTGTGCCGCCCGCACCCAGCGCCCGCCTGCGCCCATGGCGCCCCGGCTTCACCGGCTCCGGGGCTCCGCCGGCCCGCAAGGCCTCAGGGCAGCGCGGGCAGGGCCGGACGGGACACGGGCAGCGCCCCGAGGCGGGGCCAGGGCGGCCCAGCCCTGCGCGGGAGGCTCCGCTGGGCTGTGGGACTGGTTCCAGCCCTGGCGCGGGCAAACACCGTGAGGCGGGGTTGCTCGGCTCATTTTGTGCCCCGTACCGCCCCGGCGCTGTTGTGCCCAGTGGGGCCTTTCCTCCAGGAATGTGTTTTCCCTGAGCCCTTCCCGCTGCCCTCCCGCTGCCCTCAGCCCGGGCTCTGGCACGCAGGGCTGGGCAAAGTGTTCAGCGCCTCCGTTACAGCGGAGCAGACGCTGCGGGGCGTGCAGAGCTGTGGGAGCTCGGGCAGCGATGGGTCGGGCAGCAGGTGCCGTTCAGAGGCTCCTCGAGGTGGTTGCCGAGGCGCTACTCTGCGTTAATCCTGCTCTCAACCAACGTGGTTATTCCATGTGTTGTTTTCCAGCCCCCGGGAAGAAGCGCAGAGAGGCTGTGCCTGGCTGTAAGTAGCTACACGGCCCCATTAACCAAACAGAGCCTGGAGAACCTCTGACATAACTCGAGGAGGGATTTGATCTGGTTGAGATGGCTGCAATCAAGAGGCTCCTGGCTGGGTGGGGTAATTGAACACCCCCGAGGGCTGCCGAGGGAAGCAGGTGTGTATGGACTCTTCTCAGCCGGAACAGACACATAAAAGCAATTGAATTGCACCTGAGATGCCTTTTTGTCTCTTGCTAACAAAAAACCCCACAAAAAACCACCGAGGTGACTATAGCACATATATGTTTACACTTTGAGTGTCTAAGGGAGATAAATGTCATCACAGATCTATAAAAGTTCCAAAATCAGTGTTTTCTCTTTACTTTCAGTTTTAACATAGATAATAGCTTGCTGATTTTGTTACCTTCTTTCCCAATAAAAATTTGGAAAGAAATATAATATTCTTTATAAATTTACCCTCCAGCACCTGGTAGTGGATTCTTTGGCATTGTTTGCCCACAAATTGATTATTTTAGTCTCTTCACATGAGTCAGTGGCCACCTGCTGATGCCAGGAAAGCACCTGGTTGTGTGGGTCACTTAAAGCTGTCTCACCTGAGACAGTTGGGTTAAAATGTTAACAAAAATTGTTGACTAAATTTCCAGCAATTATTCAAATTATTCAAACTCTTTTTGTGTTTGGTGGGGTTTTTTTTTGTTTTTTTGGTTTTTTTTTGGTCTTTTTTTAAATTCTAGGTAAATACAAATCCTATGGCTCTCTTCCCTCAGACACCTCAGGCTGTACTGATGCTCAGAAAAAGGTGGGTAGTGTCTTTCCTTCTTCACAGACAGGTGTAAATTTTAAACCTTAATGAAAGAAATTTGAATAGTAGTAGTATTATACACTTGAAAGTAGAAACATTTTTATGTTCTACAATAATCTGTCCTAAGGAATATATTCTCACTCTTTGTGATTAAAATAATTGGGTGCAAGTTACTCTTTTTACTCCTTCAGCTTTGAAACCTGTCTTACAGAGATCAGAGCTCATTTCTTGTCTCAAGAGTTTCAGCCTCAGTGACTGGTTGAAATTCGGCTTAGTTATAGAAAGTCTCTACTAGTAAGTTTCTGAGGAGAATCTTGGTTCCTATGGCATTCCAGCTCAGAATCCCATGCTGCTGGAAGGCTAAGGTATCCCTCTGGACTTACAACACAGCATGTTTTCAGAGGCAGTTCAGTTTCATACAAATGCTCCTCCCATCCTGTTCACCCTGCTCCTTTACAGACTCCACAGTGACCACTGAATTACCTGGTACTGAGCCCTTCCAGGAACAGGGTCTTAAGAAGAAAGTCAGGCTGGCCTTAAAGCAGATTGGCTTCTCTTAAGGGCTCAGGTCCTGCCCCTTACAAAGCCTAGGCTGTTGAGTGCGAGCTGTAGATACATTTAGAGTTCAGAGCAATCTGGACACTCAAATATTGTCCTGATTATTTTCTCCTCTCACACAATTTCCTAACAATGCTTCGTCCTCCACTGCTTTCTTCTGTTGACAAGCAGTATTGTGTTTTTTGGAGTGATGAAAGGCAAAGGCACTGAACAGCATCATCAACATGTGGCAGTTCATTTTTAATTAAATATATGACAGCCAATGGACCAGTAATGTACCTAAGTAAAACCACATTCATAGAACAAAGGAAGAAGACATTCTTGAGCACTAGGTTTAATACACAGAGGGTATCCAATGGATACAACAGAAAAATTAATTCATTCAGAATTGTAAGGAAGAAAGAATTGTGCATTTTGATTTTTTTGCTCAGTTTCACCAGGTATAAACATTTGAACCAGGCCTCAGCATCAGGCAGGTCCATGGACAGAGTAAAAGGAGACACTTGCTCATTATAACTGAGGGTATTTTCATTGCAAAACAAGGAAATACATATTTAGTTAGCTTAAAAACTTTTTTTAAAACAAGGAAAGAGTTACAGAGAGAATCAGTGACAATTATATTAAATCAAAACAGTCTGCTAAAGCAGAAGTGTTTCAGTTCAGCAGAGTATCTCCCTCATTCCTTAAGTGCTCTCTTCTCCTTCAGCCTCCATGTTGCTTTTCATCTATTCCTGATGACTATTGCCCTCTGTGCTTCATCCACATACATGGTTGTCTTGGAGACCAGCTGTTTCCCTACTTTTAATTATCTGTTTCCAGCACAAGCTGTCCTCTAACACCTGAGCTGTGGCAAACTCCTCCCTAAACAGTCTTGAGGAAATGTCTTTTCTATGGATAGTGCCTGACTGCAGTGCCCTCTAGCTCTTGCCCTATCGGTAATTAATTGCCTTCTTCAGGTAATGAGAGGGAATTGACTCACAGCTCCAAGAGTTTTCTTTGCACTCATCTTTTGCAGAGACCAGAGTGACAGCAGCAGAAGCCCAGCCAAGGTGACAAGCTTGGTAGCATTCACTGCTGAAGAGGATAATTTCAGTAGGAAAGTGCAGGGAAACAGCAGCCGTGATGCAGATGAATTATCTGCAGTGTTCTGATTGCCACAAATATCAGTGCTAAACTTTCTTGGCTTGGTCTAGATGAGAAAGTCTGGTGCTTCTGGGTGTTAAACATCATCCAAGTAGATGCCGATCCTTATGAGCAATTCCTCCCACAGATTTTGTAAAATGGAAGCACTGGTGGGAAGTTGCTCATCAATTTGCTCTTATCTGCTCCAGAGAACATGGACACCTGGCACCGCTGGGTCACTAACAAGGGCCACTGGAGGACAGAGCAGCCTCCAGCCAGGAAGGAAACCACACACAGTTCAGGTAGAGGGTTCCTTTCTTTGCACAGTCTCTTGCAGGGAGCTACTGAGTCATGTTCATGCTCTGCTTGCCAAGCTTTGGAATATTAAAGGAAATGTAGTAGTGAAAACATGAAGAGTCTGAGTGGGCCAACAGCTACTGAGCACAAGGGGTGCTTCTGCAATACCCTTACGTGCTGTGAACTTCTCTACAGCTGGATTTTCATTTGAAAAATAGAACCCATTCTTGTTTTCTGAGCAGGGTTGATCACTGGCTGTATAATTTCGTGTGGAGCTGAAGTTTCCTGGCTTGTTCCTTGGACTCAGCAAAGCTGGAAGGCCTGAGAGGCATCCCTGGAGCAGTCAAGCATTTCAGGGTATCCGACTTCCCCTTTTACATTAAACATTCATAAAAAATCTGCCACTTTGCCCTCCCTTCCTTTGCAGAACATTGATGTGATGTCTGCAGGCAACTCCTGTTCTGTCCTCAGCTCTGCATCTATGGCACCAGTTAAATCCTTGCCACCAAAAAATGTTTGCAGGTCATGCATATGCCATTGTTTCAATTAGGGAAACTGAGGCCCAAACTAGTTTCAAACTTCCAATTATGGGAATTGTTGGATTGTGCTCTGGTGCTCAAAGGATACTTTTTACTCTTTGATCCTTACTGAGGGCAAAATGTTATTTTTCAGCTTACAAAATCTTGAAGACAAAGTAGGCAAAGCTCATGTTACTCTAACAGGGGTGTTATTCCTTTTAATGTGCTGCCTTAGGCATTTACCTTGCTGGTGGCTGACTCAAAATCTTACATGAGGCTTTCTGTAACTGCCCAGTTAAGAGTTCCCTCTTTCACCTGGGAATGGTGACAGATTTCAGCAAGCTGAGCTTTTCTGTCAGGCTGGCCTGGTTACATTCATCTCCTTATTGAAACTGAAATCTTTTTATCCTGGTTCAGGCTGAGGTACAGCTTGCTGAGAGTCTGTGAGCAGTGACAACAGAGGTTTCCTCTGCAGTGTGAAACAGCTTTGATGCAGTGTGGATCTTGTTAGTTTGGGAAGCAGCAGGTGAGACTCCAGTAACTGCTCAATTTGTGGAAGCACTGGTTTGGAAAACCCAAACCTTTGGGGGGTCTCAAGGGAGATAAAACCAAGCCATTGGTTTTTATTGGCCTTTATGTTGTTGTGCCAAAGTCTCAGAGTAGAGCCCAACTGCTTGGCTTGGATTGCAGCGAGAGGCTGGGATCTGCTCCAGCTGAGATGGGAGTTTCCCAGCCCCACTGTCTCCCCAGTGTGGCAGCTGCTTTCTGGGGACAAGGCTTTCTGACACCTCGTATCTGTCATCTGTCCCCTTCTGCTCTACTCCCACCTTGCCAACAGGATCAGAATCTCGAGTGCTTTTTGTCAGTTGGTTCAAGATTTTAGTGACAGGAGCTTTCACTACATGGGCATTGGAAAGGAAGCAGATGTGGTGGGTGGTACTGCAACGTGACACAACTTCCCAAGGACAGCAGCACTAAATAGGGAGTTAAAGAGCAAAGCCTGACTCCCCTAACAACCAAGGCTGCAGCCCCTCTTAGTTTTGCATCTAGAAGGAAGATTAGCAAATGTTACACAGAAAACAGATCTTGGAATATGCTTTCCCATCTAAAAGCTCACAGGGACACAAATTCTTGGGAAACAGGAATAAGAGAAAAATACATTTCAAATGACTGCAAAAAAGTATAATTTGTCAAGTTTTGCAATCTTATGAAAACAATTTAAAAGTGACACAAAAATATATATAAGTTTGAAAAATACTTAAAAGAAAATAGTACAGATCTCACAATACCAAAACAAATTGACATATGGTTAAAAAGGAAAAAAAAAAAGACATTGAATAACACCGTATTGGCAGTAAAAGTAAACCTCTCCAGGCAGTTGTGTTCTGTCAGTTAAAGTGTCAGTTTGTGGATCAAGGATCCATCCCTAACGTGCTCACAAGGACAACATGAACTCTGAGCATTAGCAGAACCTCATAGCAGCGACTCAAATCCGAGAGCAAAGTGTACAAGGGAAGAGAGCAGCGAGTTACTGTGCTCTGAGGCCTGAAATGTCCCAGCCTGCATGGCCACGGGCTCATCTTCCTTCTACCAGGCACAACATCTTTTCTGAGCCCTTCTAAGGGAAGATTTGTCAAAGAACTGTGTTGAGCAGTGGGCTATGACATAGACAACTGTGCTGTTGAGTGCCTGGCTGTGAGGCAAACCTTGGCCTTCTTGAGCCATTGTAGGTCTGGACTGTCACAAGTGAAGACCAGCTCAGTGGGACTCTGCTCTCACCTGTGTCACACAGACTGGAGTAATGTTGGTGATGGAACTGGGACTGCACTGTAAGTGCTTCTGGGAGTTAGACAGGAATAGGGCCTTCTGCTTCTGCAAATAGGGGGAAGATGTTGGGGTGGAACAAAAGGTGCTATTTCCTGGGACTGCCCTTCAGAGGGGCCTGGAGACTCCCCACCTCCAATTCCAGCAGTTGTGCTGCAGTGAGCTTCTTGTGAAGGGAGACTATGATGCCACTGAGCACAGCTTATGATGACACAGACTGAGGAAGGGCAGAACAGCTCCAGTCCCTTCCTGGGACTTGCACAAGGGGGTTCAGCTGCTCAGGACTAGGGCCTTGCAGCCCTT